CTAAAAAAAAGAAAAGAAAAGAAAATTGAAGAGGAAGAAGTATTTCCCAGCTCACTTTATGAGATCTTCATTACCCTGATGCTAAAACCAGGCCAGAAAAAATAAGGAGGTAAGAAAACTACAGACAAATGTTTAAGAAAACTACAGACAAATCTCTCTATTGAACATAGATGAAAAATTATTAACAAAATGATAACAAATTGAATCCAACAATGTATAAGAATGCAAACACAGGGCTGGGTGCAGTGGCTCACACCTGTAATCCCAACACATTGAGAGACCAAGGTAGGTGGATTGCTTGATGCCAGGAGTTCAAGAGCAACCTGGGCAACATAAAAAAAAATAAGAAATCTCTACAAAAGAATAAGAAATAATTGGCCAGGTATGGTGGTGCATAACTGTAGTCCTAGCTACTCAGGAGGCTGAGGCAGGAGAATCAGTTGAGCCCAGGAATTCAAGGTTGCAGTGAACCATGACTGCCACTGAAGAAAAAGAAAGAAAGGTAGAAAAAGAAAAGGAAAGGGGGGAAGGAAGGGGGAGAGAAGAGAGGGGATGGGAGGGAAGGGGAGAAAAGGGGAAGAATGAAGGAAGACTTCCTCAGCTCAATAGGAGCATCTATGAAGCGTCTATTGCTAACATCATACATAATGGTGAATGGCTGAATACTTTCTTCCTAACATCAGAAAGGCAAGGATATTTAGTCTCACCACCTCTATTCAGCATTGTACTAGAGGTTTTAGGCAATGCAGTAAGGTAAGAAAAAGACGTTAAAATTACCCAAATTGGAAAGAAAGTAAGAGATCTTTATTCACAGATGACATAATCTTCTACATAGAAAATTTTATGGAATCTACCAAGAAAAAACAGGCTGTGAAAACTAATAAGCAAGGTTTCCAGATACAAGATCAGTACACAAAAATTATTTGTATGTACATACTAACAATGAAAAATTAGAAATTGAAATTAAAAGACAATGCCATTTACAGTGGCATCAAAAATATTCATACTTGGGTATAAATTTGACAAAAGAGGTGGAAAAGACCTATGTACTACTGTAAAACTCTGTTGAGGACCCTGTAATCCCAGTACTTTGGGAGGCCAAGGCAGGTGGATCACTCGAGGCCAGGAGTTTGAGACCAGCCTGACCAACCTGGTGAAACCCTGTCTCCACTAAAAATACAAAAATTGGCCAGGCAAAGTGGCTCACGCCTCTAATTCCAGCTACTCTGGAGGCTGAGGTAGGAAAACTCGGGAGGTGGATGTTGCAGTGAGCCAAGATTGAACCACTGCAATCCAGTGGAGGTGACAGAGTGAGACTGTCTCAAAAACAAAATTAAAAGATTGCTGTGAAAAAAAAATTTTTTTTTTTTGAGACAGAATTTTGCTGTGTTGCCCAGGCTGGAATGCAGTGCCTCAATCTTGGCTCATTGTGACCTTTGCCCCCTAAGTTCAAGCAATTCTCCTGCCTCAGTGTCATAAGTAGCTGGACTCACAGGCATACGCTGCCACACCCAGCTAATTTTTGTATTTTTAGTAGAGATGGGGTTTCAGCAGGTTGTCCAGGCTGGTCTCAAACTCCTGATCTTAAGTGATCCACCTGCCTTGGTCTTCCAAAGTGCTGGCATTACAGGCATGAGCCATCATGCCCGGCTGCTGAGAAAAATTTAAGATGACCTAAATAAATAGACTGTTCATGGGTCAGAAGATTCATTATTAAGATGGCAGTGCTTCCTGAATTCATCAATAGATTCAAAACAATCTCAGTGAAAATTCCAGCAGACTATTTTGTAGAAATTGGCAAGCTAATTATAGAATGTATATGGAAATGCAAAGGATCAAAATAACTTTGAAAAAGAGCAAATCAAGACACTATGATAGTAACGTAAAAGTAGATATAGAGGCCAGGTACAGTGGCTCACATGTGTAATCCCAGCACTTTAGGAAGCTGAGGTAGGAGGATCACTTGATGCCAGGAGTTTGAGACTAGCCTAGGCAATGCAGTGAGACTTCATCTCTCCAAAATATATATATATATATATATATATATATAATTTGTTTTTTTGTTTTTTGGTTTTTTTTTTTGAAACAGAGTCTTGCTTTGTTACCCAGGCTGGAGTGCAATGGCACAATCTCGGCACACTGCAACCTCCGTCTCCTGGATTCAAGCTATTGTCCTGTCTCAGCCTCCCAAGTAGCTGGGATTACAGGTGCGCACCACCACGCCCAGCTAATTTTTTTAGATTTTTAGTAGAAACAGGGTTTCACCATGTTGGCCAGGCAGGTCTCGAACTCCTGACCTCAGGTGATCTACTCGCCTCAACCTCCCAAAGTGCTGGGATTTACAGGCATGAGCCACTGCACTCAGCCTACAAAAAAATATTTTTAAATTAGCCAGATATGGTGATGCACGCCTGTAGTGCCAGCTACTGCTGTGAGCTATGGTCATGCCATTGCACTCCAGAGTGATATCTTGTCTCCAAAATAACAAAAAAAAAAGTAGACAAACAAAAATAGTAAAAGACAGAGTCCATAAATAGATTCACACATATATAAACAATTGATTTTCAATAAAAGTACAAAGGTAATTTGGGAGAGAAAAGAGTCTTTTTAACATTGCTGCTGGAACAATTGGATATTCATATGCAAAAGGAAAAAAAGAACCTCAGTCCATACCTGTTACATATACAAAAATTAACTCAACATGGGCCATAGACCTAAATATAAGGGCTAAAAATATAACACTTCTAGCAGAAAACATAGGAGAAAATCTTTATGACCTTAGTTTAGTTCTTTAGATAAGACACCAAAATGGTTTTTTGACCTAATCAAATAAAGACTTTCTGTTCTTTCAAAGACACTTAAGAGAAGGAAAAGACAAGCTACAGACTGGGGAAAAGTTTTTACAAATCACATATCTGATGAAGGACTTTTATTCAGAATATATAAAGAACTCTTAAAACTGAAAAATAAGAAAACAACCCAATTAAAAATTGGCAAAAAATCCAAATAGACATTTCTCCAAAGAAGATAACAGAGGTCAAATAAACACCTGAAAGATTCTCAACATCTTGAGGCACTAGAGAAAGCAAATTAAACCCAAAAAGAGATGTAATATACCTATTACAATGTCCAAAATTAGAAAGACCGGCCATATCAGATGTTGGCAAGGATGTGAAAGAACTGGAACTCATACACTGCTGGTGGAAATGTAAAATGTTACAACCACTTTAGATAACAGTGGCAGACTCTTTAAAAGTTATGCTTCCGTGTATTGGATGATACATTTTACTCTTAGGTATTTACCCAAGAGAAGTGAAAGCATATGTCCACACAAAGAATTGAACATGAATGTTCACAGAAGCTTTATTTGTAAATAAATACTGGAAACAACCCAAATATCCACTAATACATGAATGAATAAAAAATTATGCTATATTTATATATAAATAATAAGTAATAAAGGAACAGACTTGATATTTGCAGCAACATGGATAAATGGTAAAATAATTATGCTGAGTAAAAGAGTCAGACATAAAAGAATATGTAGTGTATGATTCCATTTATATGAAACTCTAGAAAATCCAATGTGAGAAAGCTGGTCAGTCATTGCAGGAGTTGGGTACAGAGGGGCACAAGGGAGGAATTATTATAAGGGTCTTAAGGATACTTTTGGTGTTGATGGATTTGTTCACTATCTTTATTGTGATGATGGTTTCAGTTACATACATAACCAAAACATCAAATTGCTCACTATAAATATGTGCAGTTTATTGTATGTTAAAGCTGTTTAAAAATAAATAAAGCCAAAATGAAAGTAGGACCCACTACTGGAATTCTTACTACTATAGTAAACATTACAGAAAAACTATGTAACTATATAAATTAATTACAGATATTGTATTTTAAAATACTTCAATGGGGCCAGGCACAGTGGCTCATGCCTGTAATCTCAGCACTTTGGTAGGCCAAGGCAAGTGGATCACCTGAGGTCAGGAGTTCAAGACCAGCTTGGCCAACGTGGCAAAACCCTGACTCTACTAAAAATACAAAAATTAGGTGGGTGTAGTGGCACACGCCTATAATCCCAGCTACTCGGGAGGCTGAGGCAGGAGAATCACTTAAACCTGGGAGACAGAGTTTGCAGTGAGCTTAGATTGCACCATTGCATTCCAGCCTGGGCAACAAGAGCAAAACTCCCATCTCAAAAAAAAAAAAAAGAAATACTTCCATGGGTATTTGTTAAAGCAAAGAACCTTTCATAAAGTAATCTTGACTGTTGAATGAATCTTTTTTCATGACTGCTGTTGTGATACATTGTGTTTCCTTAAAGTGGATGTACATCAAGTTGGCTGGGATAACCAGAACACAATTCCACATCTTTCCAAGAGCTAAGCAACTATAGCGTACAGTGATTGTGCTTTGCCTTGAAATGGCAGAGGGCAGATGCAATAGCTGACTCTACTGAGTCTTCAGTGTGCAGACAGTTTGGTTCACTTGTTAAATACGTATTGTTACTTAATACTTACTTGGCATCTCAGCCAAATTTCACCTTAGGAACTTACATGTACTTCATTGAGACAACATACAAATACTTCAAAATGATTCATTTACTCTTAACACAAATGTAAATTAGTCCTTGCATGGAGACTATTTGCATGTGAAGGTTCCTTTTCAGCCTTCTAACAATATTAGAACCACCAAGTTTTAAAATACCTATGTGTTTCAAATGTTTTAAGTGTTCTGTTAAAAGATCTGGCTTTGTCATCATGGGGTAAAAGAATGCAGTAAGTAGAAAGGATAAAGTCATCTGTGAAACTTGACTTTCCTGGTATGTTTCCTGAGCTCATTGTACAGAGTAAGCATGTATGTGCTGATTGGCAGTTCTCCTCCTTCCTGCCATGCTCATGGCAGTGGGACACAGGGACCATGATGTTCTTTCTCACCTTCTCTCTCTGATCCGACAGCTGTGGTGACTCAGCCTTTCTTTCTTTCAGGGTGTGAACGGCATGTCTGTGGATGAGAAGCCTGACTCCCCCATGTATGTGTATGAGTCCACAGTTCACTGCACCAACATCCTCCTGGGCCTCAATGACCAGCGGAAAAAGGATATTCTCTGTGACGTGACTTTGATCGTGGAAAGGAAGGAGTTCCGGGCCCACCGGGCTGTGCTGGCCGCATGCAGTGAATACTTTTGGCAGGCACTTGTTGGACAGACAAAAAATGACTTGGTGGTCAGCTTGCCTGAGGAGGTACGTACTTTGGTTTGTGTATTGTTAGTAGATGTTTATTGACTTACAGAAAACTGGCTGAGTAGGAGATAGAAGGTATACTAGATGCCATATCCCCACTCAGGAGCTGATGTCCAAGTCACTCACACGTTAGGTTTGTGGCATAGCTGGTTTCTATTTGACATACAAAGTCTCAGAGGCACAGAATATGAGTATCTTTCTTGAAGGGAACTGAACCTCACCTGCGGCTCAGTCACTTGTAGTTTCTAGTTCACTTATACATCAGGTTTTGAGTAGTTCAGCCTAAGTTTGGCACAGTCCTAGATGTGGGATCTGAATCATTGCTATGATTTCTGTGTTTCAGATGGTTTAAGGATTGCTAGATTTCCCTTGAGAGTAAAAGGTCGAAAGCATTCACAGCACCTTCTTTGCTTGGGGGGAAAATAAAAGCAACTAGTAATTTTCACCGTTAATTTAGTAAGATTCTAAGAAGTGTAAACTTGCTTTTCTCACCATTGTTGAAAACAGCCCGCTCAGGTTTCCTAATTACTTCAGTGAGTGCAGTTATTTTGGTACTTTGGGGACACTAGTAGCTGGACCTGATCTGTCCAGAGATGACTTGACTGGATGGTTTAAGTTGTAGCAACCCAAAAGATGGGCAGACCATTAAATGGTAACCCTTTGAACCATATATACACTTCCTCTTGGTTCATCATCCTGACTTTTGTCATTCCTGTGGGACTAAGGGTAATACGTTGTGTTCAGGGCAGAATCATTCCCTGTGCACCACCAGCACAGTGTGCAACTCTTGAGCCACCACCAACAGTTGCACAAGCTGTGTACTCTATAACTCCCAGGAGTACAATTCACATCCATAGTTTTTGCAAATAGATTCCCTAGAGTTGTGTAGTGTTGAAACCAAAGACCCCATCACCCAGGTATGATGCTGATGGTTACAACCAGCATTCAGTCCCAGAGATCACAAACCAGATGCCTTCAGGGGCCTGACAAATAATATAAATGAGTGAAGTAGGTTATATATAGAACAGTAGAAAGTTATAGGGCAAGCACCCGCTCCACCAAAAGACAACTAAATTCAGCATAAAAAAACAAATAAGAAGCCAGGTGCAGTAGAGTGCACCTGTAATCCCAGCTACTCAGGAGGCTGAAGCAGCAGGATCCCTTGAGCCCAGGAGTTTGAGACAAGCCTGGGCAACATGGCAAGACCCCATCTTTAAAAAAGAAAATAATACTTTGGGAGGCCAGGGCGGGTGGATCATGAGGTCAGGAGTTTGAGACCAACCTGGCCAACATGGTGAATCTCTGTCTCTACTAAAGATACAAAAATTGAGCTGGGCATGGTGGCATGTGCCTGTAATCCTAGGTACTCGGGAGGCTGTGGCAGGAGAATTGCTTGAACCCAGAAGGCAGAGGATGTAGTGACCCGAGATCACACCATTGCACTCCAGGCTGGGTGACAGGGCAAGACTCTGTCTCAAAAAAGGAAAAAGAAAAGAAAAAAGAAAATGATAATTAAAATTTTAAAACACTATTTGTATTTGTCTATTTGACAGACAAACAAGATATGGGCAGTGAAGGGGTCATCAGATCTCAGTTCTTTGTTAAGCAACATCTGCTGTTATCCCTGCTGAGCAGGAAAGTGGCCAGCTGATAAAAATGAGGCCAGATAAAAACTGGGGCCAGGTATAGCAGCTCACACCTATCATCCTAGTACTTCGGGAGGCCAAAGCGGGAAGACCACTTGAGTCCCAGGAGTTCAAGACTATCCTGGGCAACATAGGGAGACCCCCATCTGTACAAAAGATTTAAAAATAAACCAGATACAGTGGCACACACTCGTCTCGGCTACTCGGGAAGCTGAGCAGGGAGGATCACTTGAGCCCAGGAGGTCAAGGCTGCAAGTGAGCTGTGATCACACCAGTGTACTCCAGCCTGGGTGACAGAGTGAGACCATGTCTCAAAAAAAAAAAATGAGGACTGCATATGCACGAGCATTTCACATTCGTATCCTTGTTACATACTCAACATAGAGTGCTCCATTACCACTCCTCATACCACTAGTTACGTAGGTAGCTAGAGAGATCCCAACACTAGAAGCAAAAGGAGAGATCAGCTAAATGACATAGTGGGACTGGGATAGGGAGTGGAGCACTGGGTACCAAGGAACAGGGGAAGGCCAAGGAATGGCAGCTGCAGTGTAGCCAGGGGATCCTGAGCTGGCCTTTCCTCAACTGTGCTGATGGGGACATATTTATCTAGCTGGCTTGCCATGAAGACTAGGTGAGATGATAATTACAAAAATTCTCAGCACAGCCTTATCATCTAGCAGGCATTTGACAAACATAAGTCCCTTTTTAAACACAGGGTCTTGCTCTGTTGCCCAGGTGTGACTGGAACTCTTAAGCTCAAGGGATCCTTTTGTCTTGAATTATTTATCAAAAATACAATACCAATGCAATAAAATGTAAAGGAAACTGGGATATAAATGTATATGATATAACCTTGAGGTTTCTTTTTAGATAAAATCCCTGATAATTGCTTATTTCTTTGACATTGGAAATGGCATTTTAAATGAGAGCCACACTGTATAGACATCGCCCAAAAATCAAGTGAGAATTTGCTGTGTGTTCTCATTTAAGTGAGAATTTGCTGTGTGTTGATTTTCTTTCTTCCTCCCTCTGTAAAATGATTGTCATCCCTGCATCATCTACATCCTCCAAACCATTGAAACATTCTGGTTGCTCATGTATCTGAAATCTTCAGGTAGAACTAGATCCTTTTTGTTCTTATGATATGCAAATTCATATTGTCAATAATCCAGCTCTTAAGTATCTTGTTGATGGAACATGCAAGCCAGCCCCAGTGGCATTTTCCTTTGAGGATCTGTCATTGCTTCTGAGGCCTCCTTTGAAGAGCCCTTCTGCTCTGCTCAGGGCACCTGCCTATGGACCCACGTGCTGGGCATTGTTTTCCTCTGCTTGCTGTGTGCACACTGAAGTGTCCCTGCAGGCTCAGTGGTAATTATCACATGTAGCTCAGTGAATGATTTCATAGAATTTGAATTAAGGGGTAAATAAGCAAACATTCTAAACACTACCTTAGAAAGTAGCTGTCTAGAACTAATTGGCATTTAGTTCAGAAGATATAAGAAAAAGCATTAGATTAGCTCCTTGGAAATCTTTAAACCTCTTCATAATCCTACCACCGAGTTTGAATCAGCTTCTGGCCCTGCACTTCCCTTATTCACATTTGACCCATCTACACTCCCTTGGCAGCCAACCGCTGTTCTCCTCAGGGGTCCAGCATGGCCAAGCCTGAGAGTTTCTCCTAGGAGCCTGAAACTTCTCAACGCAAACTGCCACTCCTCCGCCCCACTCCTCATCCACTTTTGGCCAAACCCAGATCTGGCCTCCAGCAACTGTCCACCCCCAAATCCCATTTCCTGATGAGCCACGCCATTACTAGCACATGAGAGCCACTCAGAGCCCAGCATAGCCTCTAAATGGAAAGAGAGACAATAATAGAGGGAGGCCTCCTTCTAGAAATAAAGGAATAATTGAATTACCTTGCTTTAAAAAAAACAAACAAATGACAGCCCCTAGGACTCCTAGGACTTGAGTGTTGGTTCCCCACTGAAAAACACACCCAGGTAATTGGGTCAGCAGATAGTTGGAGATAAGCCACTGTACTTAGTACTTTCATTATATAATAAAACAGATCATTCAGTTTTATGTGAGTGAGTATATGTTGTGCTAAGAGATGAAGAGAAAGTAGTTGATGTGCCAAGCATTGCAGGCTGTTCTTCCACTGCTCGTTAGCATGACACCTCTTTAGCTATAGTCACAGAGGCCATTTCGGGCTGGATGCCAGCCATGCCGGAAGTTGTATCGTGACTATGAAGTTCAATCTTTTGGCATGTCAAGTTCAGAGGACAGGGATGGGATGTGCTTCCTTAGAAGATGCTCAGCCCACAGTGGGTTTGCACATCAACCCTATTCTTATGTGGCTGTTTGGCTCCCTCACAGAATGCTAAGGGAGGAGCGGCTGTCAAGAGGTTACTGCCAAGGCCTCACCACCTTTCTCTGGCTTCCTTCCTGTGTCTTTGTACCCTCTAAAAAAGGGGACAGGTTCCTGCAGGGAACGGCTACAGGGTGGGGGTGAGTATGGCCCCTGCAGGTAGACCTTATGTTTTCTTCAGTATAAATAGATTTCAGGCTTGTGCTGGCTTGTGCTCTCTATCTTTTGCTTTCTCTCTCACTCAACATTTTGGGGCAAATCTCACTTTTCAGTGCAATACAAGAAAGAAAGCTGACCCAGAAGCATTCTAAAGAAAAGGCATTTGTTGTTAAGTCTTAACCACAGGGTGCAATAAAGAACATTCCTGCAGCAGTACTGCCAAGCACAGATGCCAACAAGGAAATTATGGAATCTTCTTGTCTGGAAGTTTTTAGAGGATATGAAAGCTGTTAATGTCTCAGGGATGGTTTAGGTTCAGTCTTTTAAGGAAGCAATAAGACAGTCAACGATTCTCTTTGGGCAATCCTTTCAGTATGTAATAGTACAGAAGGTACGTAATGCCACAGCATAGGATAACAGCAGCATTCTGAGCCTGAGAGTGAGTGCAAGGGAAGGTGGAGTTTGGTGGGAAACAAGGGTGAAGTCTTTGGGAAGTGGCATGACCAGGATGAGAAGGCCAAAGCACTTAGCTAGCCCAGACCACATAGCCTCACCCCTTTCACCTAAACAAAACTCTAAAGAAGACACCACTACTCTTTGCCTGAAAAAGAGTAATGGGCAGATTTTTTTTTAACTAGGATCAGCAGCCATGAGGGGCTGGGAAAACCACACTCTGGGCCTTGGTACCACTGCATGTGAGATCTTCAGCAAACCAATCCACCTCTCTGGACTTTGGTTTTCTCATTCATTGATTTATTCATTCAACAAGTATTTATCAAAAGGAGGCCTCATTCTAGCTGCTTGGTGAACCTAGCTCACATTCC